GTTCGTGAATGGGGACTGAGAAATAGATCATCAAATCACGGGCTTGGGCTAAATAAAAGGATAGGAGGTTAGTAAGATGGTCGATGATATAAAATTTGCCACTTTGGTACATCTACAAGAGATCTCTATCGCCGGCTTAGGAAACAAAGAATTGTAGGGGAAGAAGAAGATATAGACTCTTTTATTAACTAGTTTTTACCCGACCCATTGGTCTGACGAATTTTGTTTTATTTTATGAATAAATTTCTTCATACTTTTAAAAAATTTGATATTTTCTAAAATATTTAATTTATTATTTCAAAGTAATCTTTACGGTATTTGTCGATTATGACATTAATGATAATTAGTTAATGTATATATTTTTTTATCAAGTCGTCCTAGTGTATTGTTGTGTATTTTTGTCATATCTTAGAAGAAATGTTGTGAACTTTTTATTGTCGGATATGAATTTGGAGTTGGAAGGAAATATATGTCATCTAAAATTGGTAGGAACTGATGGTACATTAAAAATCAATAGAATAACGAAAAGATTATACCTAGAAATCTCAAATATGAAAGAACACAAAAAAATGATTCTTATTGTATAAATTAAGATAGTTTAGTGTATAGACTTGTTTGAATATTAAGTGGGGGTTGTTAAGAGTTTGATACTAATGCACGTAAAAAAGTTAAGAAAAATATTATAAAACCTTAAATTTACTCTACCCATACGATCTTTGATTTTTTTATGTGCAATTAATAGCATAAATTGTCACTCTATTATCCATTTTCTCAAATCCATATCTCTACTATTTTTCACATCAAACGCGCCAATGTACTATATAGTATATACGTTTTAACAAATTAAATTTACCCCCATTTTGTGGCTTATTTGCTTCGTCTGCAACTCCCATTAATTAATAGACTCAATCCCATCATCCATGTATTTCTCTTTCTCTTCCTTTGACCCAACAATAAATAAACGCAAAAACTTGTCTGTCATGAAAGAACCTTGAAGACCGACTTTTGAATTTCAACCACTCTGAAAGTCCATAATTATTGATCGATTCGACTCAATCATTAAAATTTGAACCCAATTTTTTTAGAATATATGGATTTCAAATTATCAAAGTTTGTCAACCCTGTTTAGCCTGTTGGTCCGATCGATTAAGTGGGTTGAGGGTTAAAGGTCCAATCGTTTAGTCCACTTTTGCCTGGATATATGAAAAACTCATTATATTGTTCATATATTTATAAATTATATAAAATCTTATCTACCTATGGATAATATTTTTCATCGCCCGTACTTTCTACATTTGTTTCTCTACCTGCTACTTTCCGCTATCCTCCTTTGAGCTCATAAAAAGCACTCCAACAACATGTATTTATCACGTGATAAAGGTCGCACTCCTATGGCGACGGTGTGTGTGTCAGATGTGGAATTAATGAGGAACGACCAAGTGAGAATTGAGCGTGAGGGTGTTTGCGAGTGAAGGCAATATGTGATGGAAGGCGATTTCTGTCAGTAGTCTCTTTGTTTAAAAAATTAACTCAACAGATTTAGCTTACCAATTCTCGGAGCGGGAGCTAGAATGGAATCGTAAGAGCGTATATTATTCGAGAATGATAATTTGAGTGTGCCGAAAGAGTATGACTATTATATTAATTTAATTAATATGTCATTTAACTTACTAACATGTTTTGATCAAAATATTACAACAATGCATCGGAAATATAAAAATAAAATTATTTTAGTAGTATAATAGCTTTAAATAATCTCATTTGGACTGAAAAAATGATCAGACTTCAAAATTTAAATAGAATTCCACCAAAATTTAGGATACTGTTTTTAGATTTTAATTGAAGTTTCTAGTTCTATTTTATTCAAAAGAAAAAGAGAAATGAATGCATCGTTTATCCTCCGCCATGCACTCAATTAGTTGTTAGTAAAATAGTCTATATCTACTTCTTCTCTTTCGATTCTTTGTTTCCTAAACTGACGCTGGAGCGGGTTTTATTTTACTTCTCGGTCATGAGAACCTTGAAGACCGACTTTTGAATTTCAACGAGTCTCTGAAATTCCACAATTATTGATCGATTTGACTCAATTATAAAAATTGGAATCCAAATTTTTTAGAATAAATAGATTTCAAATTATCAAAGGTTGTCTACCCGGTTTAGCGCATTGGTCCGGTCGATTAAGTTGGTTGAGGGTTAATGGTCCAATCGTTTTATTACGCTTTTGCCCGGATATATGAAAAACTCATTATATTGTTCAAATATTTATAGATTATATATAATCTCATCTACATATGGATAATATTCTTTCTCTCCTGTACTATGTACATTTGTTTCTCTACCTGCTACTTTTCGCTATCCTCCTTCGAGCTCCTAAAAAGCACTTCAACAACATGTATTCATCTTGTGGTGAAGGTCGCACTCCTATGGTGACGCGGTGTGTGTAAGATGTGAAATTAATGCAGAACGGCCAAGTGGGAATTGAGTGTGAGGGTGTTTGCGAGTGAAGGCAATATGTGATGGGAGGCGAGTTCTGTAAGTAGTCTCTTTGTCTACAGAATTAACTCAACAGATTTAGCTTACCAATTTGCGGAGAGGGAGCTAGAATGGGAGCGTTAGAGCTTATATTATTCGAGAATTATAATTTGAGTGTGCCGAAAGAGTGTGAATATTAAATTATATTAATTAGTATATCATTTAACTTACTAACATGCTTTGGTTAAAATATTACAACAATGCAACAAAAAGATAAAAATTAAATTATCTTTGTAGAACGATAGCTTTAAATAATATGATTAGGCTCGAAAAAGGAACATACTTCAAAAGTTGAATAGAAACCCACCAAAGTTTATGACACTGTTTTTAGTTTATTTAAAAGAAAAAGAGAAATGGATGCATCGTTTATCCACACCCATGCACTCAATTAGTTGTTAATAAAAGAGTCAATATCTTCTTCTTCCCCTTCGATTCTTTGTTTCCTAAGTCGATGCTAGAGATCTCTTGTAGATGTACCAAATTGACAAATTCTATATCACCGGCCATCCAACTAACCTCCTATGCTTTTATTTAGCCCAAGCCCGTGATTTGATGATCTATTAGTCAGTCCCCATTCAAGAAATCGTGGTGAATCTTCAGAAGTAGGAAGATTTTTTTACCGCTCATCTAAATCTTCAACAACTGTCAAGATCTCGTGCCACATGTATCCTTTTCATCTTTTCTCTCCAGATCTTTGACAGCACCACAAGTATTCCTTTTTCCCACGAAGAAGCGTGTCATCGTCTTCGAGCCAAAACTATTGATTTGGCAATGATTTGTTTCATTTTACTTTGTTTATAGGGAGGAAAATCTCTTAGATAAGTGATATATGAAATAATATTTCTGAAGTTTGATTTTCGATGCTCTAATTTTTAGTTTGAGCTACAATTTTTGTGTTTTGGAAGTTGGTAGTTTTTGTAAAAGAATTGTGATGCAAAAATATAATTCCTACTTTCACTCTCGTTGTAAGAAATTTGAAATGAGACTACAATTTTCTCATTTCTGTTTTACATATTGTGTATGTAGACACCCCATTTTGTCCGGGTCAATTACTCAACTAAAAATTCTAATTAATCTTTAAATGTCGTAAGATAATTAGATTGGCCATTGCGAGTCTAAAATATTGACGATTGTATAAATTATTCAAATTTGATTCTAGTGGATTAATAGGACCGATTGGCTTCCAATTTACGCTTTTGGCCCAACACAGAAAATACAGAAGAAGAATAAAGTTTTATTTAAATTATCAATAAAGTATACAATTACAATCAAAATACAAATTACAAATAAGAATTACTACATGAAAATTACAATCAATACATGTTTCTTCCATCTCTTTTTGAAGCCAGCAATGGACCTGCCAAACAACAAGAAAGGAGACAGTCTATTCAGATCCAGAACCAAGACAAGTCCAGAAGATCATAGCCCACAGTCAGGCCCAAGAGAGCCCAAGATCTCATGGGTCAGATCCTGACTAGCCCAGGAAAAGCCCAACCCGACGGACCGGTCGAACCAGAGCTGGTCTGACCAAACCCAGAAACCACCGCCTCTTTTTTCTATAAAAGCAGGCTCAATTTTCAAGAGAAGGACGGCGGCCAGGAGGGAAAATACGAGAGAAAACATTGTTTTTGTTCAGAGTTCAGAGCTCTTTCTGTCAGAACTCTCTTCTTCTTTTTAGTAAGTTCAGAGAGAGAAAGTGCTGAGAAAATAGAAAGAGAAATACAACATTTTTTTTCTCCTTCTTTATGTTCTGTCAAATAGAAGCAGAAAACCTCAAGGCAAACAAAAGCCCAACAAAGTTTGTATTGAGCCAACAAGGTGGTTCATATTCCAGTTATAATAATATACTATTGATTTAATCTCTTCTCTACTACTTTTTTTTGTCAATATCATTCTACTATTGCCATTATCAGCATCTCTTTCTTTATCTTTCTTTCAGTTAGACTTCTTATTACGTAGTATTGTTGCTACCAATTTTGCTATTTACTTTTCGTCATTTTTCAATTCCTTTATTTATGTCATGTTTCGATCCCTTTATTTTCTAGAACTAGAATATAGATGAGATCACCAAAAACATATTTGTCATTTTTCCTAAATACCCAAAAAAGCACATCCAGTTCAACAAAGCCATATTAACCAAAAGACACTAGTATGTTAACCGAAAGGCCAAATTTAGAATTAATTATGAGTTTCAAAACCATCAATTTTTATTAGAACCCACCAAGTAAATCTCAAAATCCAGATTACCACAAACACACATTCATTCCTACAACTCAGATCTGTAAATCGTTTTCAAACCTACATCATAATCCACTTTTTTTAGTGTTTCTCTCAAACCACTTCGAGCAGAGTTTAGGAAAACCTCACCTAGCTATCTGCCCGTTTCCAAAACCTGCAAAAATAAGGAAAGAGAGTTAGTACTTGCACAATCGAAGAGAGTAGCATCAAAGTAAAATAATCCGCAAAGTCTATCTTTTGTTATCCTTCGATTTTGGCATCGCCGACGAATCAATCTTCCCTCGTCGTTGTTGACTCTCCGTCTCCTCCCAACAGAAAGCCAAATCCCAAAAATCAAAATAAAAATAACATAGAAACCAGAAATCAAATTCAAATATCAAAAGTAAACTTACCCAGATCCCCTTTCGTCGCGTCTGGCAGTCGATCTTCCTTCGCCGACGGCGACCCACGACCGCCGATAACTTTCGTTCTTCCTCCCCTTACCCGCGAACAGAAACAAAAAATCAAGAGAAAGAGAGTCAGCACCCCTAAACTCAAAAAAAAAAAAAACCCAGAAAATCAAACATGCAAACATAATCCGCAACTTACCGTCGATTTGGAGGTTGACCGGCGCTTCAATGGCGTATTTTAGGCTGGGATCCCGTCCGATTTTGCTGTGGAACGTGAGATATGGGAGGGATTTACTCCTTTTGGCTCTCGGGAGGAAGAAGAAGGTTAATCAAATGAGAGGGTTTCGGTTTTCAGAAGGCAAAATGAAAAAGGGAGAGATTATTTTTTTTTTTGGGGTTTTCCTCTTGGTTCGTGTCACAGAGTGAAGAGACGAGAGGGAGGAAGATTTGAGCGGCGCCTAGGTTTCCTAAGTTAAGTCCATTATATACCTCTGGCCGCTACCTAAATGACCGATCTACCCCTCCAAGCCTTAAATCGTAAAAAATTTACTTACTAGGTTTCGAACAACGACCTTTACCTCATTACTCGCCACTATTCGCCACAACAAACCACTGAGCTACATAACAATTCTTGAACCTTTTAAGCCACTCGTCTAGTTTTATTCCTTATCATGCTTAATACATAATCAATTAAACATATAAGAAATTTTTATCTAGTTATATCGTCATTATTTTCATACATCATAATCTTCTAAATATCTTTTTCAATACGTCATTACGCATTTGTATATTTTTTTTCTAAGGATTCAATAAAATAAAATCATGGTTAATAGATTATGACTTTTATAGTGGAATCTTTTCATAATCGTTAATCAATTGGTTCCGACTAACCAATAACTTTTCATGTATCGAGATGTACGTCGATAGACGTAAAATCTCATCGTGTACCAATAGTATACGGAATTTATTTTAACTCAATAGTCCAATAGGACTTTAAGTTAAATCATTAACAATTTAAACACCCAACCCTTTAAAACTTATCGATTTAAGTGGTACCAATTTTGGGCGTTGTGGGGTGTGAATACACTTCCCCACACGTAACCGTACTCCTGAACCCCAAATCGCAGATCAAATCCTAGTTTAGACCGATAGGTCGAACCGGGACCAACGGTGTTCGATCCACCAATATATGATCGATGGCGACTCCGAGCAATTCGCGACGGATCCCCCGATTTCGAGGGGCGGTTGCCACAGTGTAGAGTGTAGATAAAGATATGTACTACAAATTAATTAGCACATCATAAAAAAAAATTCATTAGCACATTTAAAAAAGGTGAAATGAGCCAACTTATTAAACTCGTAATGTTTGTTGGATCCAATCATGTCAGAATAGGAAGAGGTTCAAAATTTGACGGTTAGCCGAACTAAAATGTTCAAAGAACCAATCCCATATAGTTTACACAAAGATATGAATACGATTGTTTCATAGTAGGTCTAAAACTTAATACTAATTTAAGAACTATACATCACTTCTACATATTCAATACTTCAATTCGATATGCAATATTCGAACCAATGATATTTGAGTGGCGATTTTAAAGTTATCCTGTATTTATAAGATATGTCGGAATTTAATTTAGTCTTAAACAATAATTAAAATGAGGAATTTGACCTCTATTAGTCACACAATGTTTCAACTCAAATGCATGTTTCTCATTAGGTGGATGAAGCGTGAAGGCCATGAATAGACTTTGATCGTTCACACTAAACCTAAGGATGAACATGTATATATACATACGAACAAGGGCTTGACTAGTGATAATACCACTGACTTTCAACCTGAAAGTTCTAGGTTTGAATCACTTAATTAGTACCCTAAATCACAAAATAATAAATCTATATCACCCTTATAAAAAAAGCATGTGTCTTTTCATATGTGAGCAGCAGTTGGAAGACAACACAAAATACTCAGTAATCACCATGCTAAATAGGATTTTGCCTTTGAGGCATTTTTCTTGATAATTAATGACCTAAGAGGTTCGCTCGATTAGTTCAAATCAACGATCAGCATCAGCAGATGGTCAAAGGATGAACTCCAGACGATTTGGTTGAAGTTGAAGGCCTCGTAAAATACTGTCTACCTATGGTTGTTGTCGACATGATGCATGGTTGCTAGCTAAACCGCTGTTTTCATGAGACTGTCTTAGATTTCAGACGACTTTGTCCAAACTTATGCCGCGCCAATGCTTCTGAAGACCAAACTACGGTTGATTCAAGGTCGAGATATCATTTACTTACTCATACAAGATATGTCAGACTTTTGATTTTACCCAAGATATATATGTCAAAGGCTAGAGTACGTCCGGACGTACCCTAGTCTAACGTACACCCATTGAGTTTAGCTATTTAGACAATGAATTAACGAAGTTCGGAGCATGATACTATACCCTAACCCCTACCTAATGGGTGAACTCCAGTCCGCAATTCACTAACCCAAAGCATAACATTCATTTAATCTTGAAATGAAAATCAACGGTTTTGATTCGTCGAAATTATTGTTGATTTTCATTTTAAGATTAAACGAATCTCATGATTTGGGTTATAAAACTATAGACTAGGTTTTATCCATTATTGGTTAGGGTATAATATTATGCCCAAAACTCCGATTAAATCATTATCTAAATAGCAAAACTCAAACGGGTATGGTAGTCTAATGTACGCCCGGGCATACGCTAGCCTGAACCATATATATAATATACATACGGTGCGCCCATTTTGGTTGTATTCAGTGCACTCGCCTCATAATCGTCATTCCGAGCATGAGATTCACGTCAAAACGATATCAATCGTCGCTTATGATGTTATGAACAAGAAATACATGAATTTGAAAATAAAAACTCATATTTATGACTATTAACGTACTATTAAACGTAATTTTAGCTTAAAGATGAAGTATAATGCCCGTACGTATCTTTTACGTAACTTTCCCGTACCGTATTTTACTAACTATGGTTACGGTAATAGTTTAATTAATTTTGATTTTATATTATATCATCATATTAAACTAATACTATCGATTTAAATCTAATTGTGAAAATCTCCAAGCAAGAGTAGGTGGGAACATGCATGGCAAGTTGTTATTGATACTCCTAAATTGGCAGCGATAGGGAATGGGGAATTCCCGACAAATCTACTTCCAAATTGGCGGCCAGTTCCATGGTGTTGAAGGGATTTTACTGGATTCATACAAAAATTTATTGCTATTGCTGGGAGGTGTTACAAAATTGGAACGATGATGAATTCGATGCTTAGTTTTTCTACTCAAGAAGCATCTCCTCAGATTCGCCGGTTCTCCCTGACTGCCGCCGTCGCAAACCTCGTCACAGTGAAAATCATGATTCCGTGAGCAAAACTAAGAGATGGGAAAATCGGCAGCTGATCATCATCAAAGAATTGCGTCGTCAAATCTATCGAAAACGCTATGGTTTGTAAAAAGGATGCTGCCATTGGAAAGGAAAGTGAAGGGGAGCTTTGCGGTGGTGAAATGCTCGAGCGATCCAGACCACGATTTCAAGTCTTCAATGGTGGAGAAGATTATAGAGAAGCAGGTATTCGGGGCACTAGGCTCCTAATAGGCTAATACTGTTGTTTTGAGTGCTTGAGATGTAAAAGGAAGTGATTTTTTATTGAATTTTTGTGCTTGGTTTGATTTTGTGTTTATTGTCTGTTCTTGTATGTTTTTGTTTCATTCGAGAGTTTGATTCATACCAATAAGACTACAGAAGGGAGATTTTGTTTATGGCAAACGACTGTGTTTATAAAAGATGGTTGTGTTTATACAACGAAACAATGTTGGGTGACTATAATGTAACTAGGATTATTTAATGGGTACAGTTGGCAATTCTAATTTTCAATAATTAACCAATTTTATTATAATTAATTATGGACGTTAGATTAAATCAACGGTATAGAAAATCTGGAGCATGCTATGCGTCTGGAGCATACGAGTCTGACCCATATATGGATATATGTTAGCTTCTATGTGTAGATTGGATAAAATCTAGAGAACGACATACCATGAGTAAGAAAATGCTATTTAAATCTCAAATTAACCACATATTTGGGCATGATACTATATCACAACCCTTGATGAGTGAACCGTAGGTCTTAATTATCTAAATCATAAAGTCTAACCCCTAAGGATTAGGGTTTAGATTTATCATTTAGGGTTTTGGGTTGGGATTCAAAATCGGCAGTTAAGGGGTTACGGTAATAGTTTAATTAGTTTTGATTTGAAATTATATCATCATATCAGACTAATACTATCAATTAAAGTTCAAAATTTGATTTATTTTGACCACTTTTAGTATTAGATGCATTGAATTGAATGCAAAAAAAAAAGTACACCAAACCGAAGTAGAATAGAATAAATTACAAACTTTACCTTTATACCATATATATAAATAAATATCCAACACCAATGTCATAAAAGACAAAATCTAATTGTGAAAATCTCCAAGCAAGAGCAGGTGGGAACATGCATGGCAAGTTGTTATCGATACTCAGTAGTCGACCAACAAGCTTCCAAAAGTTGGCCCTGAAATTCTCTCTACCCTTATGCATACAGTAAATCAAGACAATAATCACAAGTCCACAAATACATGCATATATGATGACTTCATGCCCTTTCTAATACCACCCTTGAATTATCCTTCACTAGAATCTAGTCCTATAAAAACCCCACCGTTCATTCCCAAACCACCAAATCTCTTCTTCACATAGCTTAAGCGTAGCAAGTTTTCTTTTTTGCTTAACAATAACATTATCAAAACATGGCTTCCCAAACCAGCTCGGCCATGGCTCTCTTCTTAGCTCTCAACCTTCTCTTCTTCTCCATGGCCTCTGCCTGCGGTGGTGGCTGCCCTAATCCGAAACCTACCCCTACAGCTCCGCCTACGCCTAGACCAACTCCTCCTACGCCTAAACCAACTCCTCCTAGCCCTACAACTCCTTCCACCCCTAAACCAACTCCTTCCGCACCTAAACCAACTCCTCCTAGCCCTACAACTCCTTCCACCGGCGGCGGCGGGAAGTGCCCGATTGATGCACTCAAGCTGGGCGTTTGCGCCGATGTGCTTGCCAATCTGCTCAATCTGAAGCTCGGGAGCCCACCAGTTCAACCTTGCTGTAGCTTGATCAATGGGCTCGTTGATGTTGAAGCCGCCGTCTGCCTTTGCACCGCCATTAAAGCCAACATCCTCGGGATCAACCTCAATGTTCCAGTCTCTCTCAGCTTGCTTCTCAATGTCTGTAACCAGAAGCTTCCATCTGGCTTCCAATGCCCTTAATTAAGCATCTATTTGTTCTACGACCAAACGTGCTACGTGCATGCATGTATGAGTAGTTTCGGTTTTGCTTCCTTTTTCACGTGACGTTGGTGTCTAATAATAAGTTTTCCAGTATTTTCCGTCTAATTTGTGATCCTGTTGTACCAATAAATCACTTCATATGTATACTCATACGAATGTTCTTATGGGGAGATTAATGAAGATAATATTTCGGTTTTAATTACTTGTCTGTATG